TAAATGAATGGGGTAGATGAGCAGGGGGGTGGGTAACTCTCTTGATAAAACTTGACTGAGCCTGTCTAGGGTCTTATAAGAGGCTCCCCAGGGCTTGTGGATGGTTTTCTTCTAGGCCAGTTCAGCAGAACTGACATGCAACTCACCTTGCAATGACCGGCCTGGCTGACAGGTGCCCATACAGCGTGATTGTCCACTATGCCCAGTACAGAGTCTGCTCAAAGAATCTAGTGCTCTCTGACCAGGTTAGTGCCCACTTCCCCTGTGCCAGTTTCAGGGTTTCTCTACACATGAGGAATGGGCAAAGCCCACATCGCTCTTTGGTGCTGGGAACACAGAGCTCCACTTCTTCCCACTGCTTGAGGTCCCTTCCAGTCCCCATCACTGTGTCCATCTGCTTCTGTATGTGATGTTGAGGAGCAGGGGTTAGCTGAGCACCAGTGTTATGTTAGATGTGGCACTGGATACTTGGCATATATTCTCCCAAATGCACATAACACCTCCTCTAAGATGAGCCTTAGGAGAGTCATTTTACACTTGAGGTTCAGAGATTTAACTTACTGTGGGGCATACAACTAGAATGTGTCAGAGGCCATTTTCAAAGCTTGTGTTTTTTTCTGCTATGCTATACTGTTTGCATTTCCCAGTGTGAATTTGGTCCATTCATATGTTATTCCTAATGGGCCCAAACCAGCTTCTTAGGCTTTTGTTTATTTATTGCTGCTGGCGCCGAACCTTGGCCTGTCTGCCTCTTATTCTGGAACTGTCTTCATCTGTTTTTTTCCCACCAAGATTAGCTGTGAAATGGGTCTCAATCCTCCAGTCAGCAACTTACTCTCTCCTTGCCTCATCCAAAGTCAAAACCTGTGGGTGTCAGAGGTCATACTAATTATTTCCAGAGAAGTGGACTGAGGGTAAAGACAAGTCTGGTTTGTCAACAGACTTCCAAAGTCTTATAGTAAAATCACCGATTCTTAGGGCCAGAGAACAGAAACATATGTTCTTTGCACTTATTCCTGAGGTTGAGCTTCAATTTTTCTCATATGAAAAGGATGGGCTGTTGGGACCTTAGGTACTAAGAGTCTCTGTGTCTTGGTTCTACGATTCTTGATGCCATGGGTGTTGGGAGGAGAAAAGTTTTTGTAGCTGGAGTGGACAACGCCTTGTTGGTAGAAGTGATGCTGAGCCAGCTTTCCAGGTTTACACTCCACTGTACTTGGCCAATTACTTATCCTTCTGGAGAGTTTATCTTCATCTGAATCTGCCCCTTTACTCTAACCTTGGGTTTTTTAAAAAATTTGTGCCGATTTTGTTAGTCCTTGTGTTTTATTGGCTGGATTGGGATGAACAGACGTTCCTGCAGGTCTATGTGAAAGTCTAATCTCCCTGCTAGGGAAAAGGCAATGCTGGAGTTTGAACTTGCTATTTCCCAAGCTGACGACATAACAGATGATTATTTCAAAAAGCTCGACTGCATGACTTCAACAGAGATGCTTGAGACATAGCAGCCATTTCAGCTTTTTATGTCACGTCCAATCCTCTTACTCATTTTGCCAGTTTTGTTCCAAACAAAGAATTCCATTTGATGGGCAGAACCAGTGATGCTAAAGACATCAAGCGTCAATTTGATGTTTCCAAAATATAAAAGCCTGACAGGAAAGGTCAGTGTTTATCTTTTGGGTCATGCTGCATTATAGGACATCAGTTGGGCAGTAATTGTTTATTATAAAGTTAATTCTAATGTATTTTTAACCTAAATAACAGTTTTAAAAACTTTTCCCCATTTAACAAGTTAGAAAAGAAATTTTTAAAAAATTTAGCCAGTGGATAGAAAAGAAAGTAGATAAAATTGCTCCCTGCCTGCTTAATAAGATAGATCCTAAGTGTTATGGGCATCCAGGGACATGGGATACTTGAGCCTAGGGGACACATTTCAGGAAACCTTTCCTAATTGTTTACTTATGTTGTGATCTAAAAGGACCATCAGGGCAAAGATGTTCAGAAGATGCTTTAGGCATTTCTGATGAACTGATATCTAACTGAATTTCACCAAATGAAGTTGAAAAGCTTTCAAGAATTATATTTCATAGAAGTCTATATATACTGGTTTGAAATGAATTCCATGTCAACATGGCTGCATTTCAAGGCCCTTCAAGGCAGTGGGTAAGTAGAAGACTCAGTTAAAGTTTAGATCCACCTTTAGTGCCTTCTCAGTTTATTTACCTTTGTTTGTTTCTGATAGGTTGTAAAATCATGGTAATTGCAGGAGAATTTTAGTTTTTATATAACTTATTCTTATTTTAGGTTCTAGCAAAAATTATTTTGAATAAATGAGCACTCACACTTAAAGTAGGAGCATTTAGAAAGAAAAAACTGGCACACAAAATAACTTGTTCCACGTGTTACAGCCACCACTGTCTTAAGTTTTTGGCTATCTTAACTCTTCTAGAATACTTCTCATTTAACAGAGTTACATGCAAACCTATACAATGTTTTTGTAACCGGGCATGGTGGCTCACACCTGTGATACCAGCACTTTGGGAGGTGGAGGTGAGAGGATTGACTGAGCCCAGGGATTTGAGACCAGCCTGGGCAAGGTGGAAAGACCTTGTCTCTACCATAAATAAAAAAATCACCCAGGCATGGTGGCGCATGCTCATAGTTCCAGCTACTTGGAAAACTGAGGTGGAAGGATTGCCTGAGCCCAGCAGGTTGAGGCTGTGGTAGCCGTGAGTGTGCCACTGCACTCCAGTCTGGGTGACAGAGTGAGACTTCCACTCAAAAAAAAAATTTTTTTTTGTTTAGGGAGGGAGGGAAAGAGGGAGGGAAAAGGGCACATGGCAGCACGCTGGGTACCTGGTCCATTATCAGGAGGAGAGAGGGCCAGCTAGAAGCCAAACTTCACTTATGTGCATCTTACTTATGTAGTAAACCCTCACTTGTACCACACAACTCAAATAAAATAAAATAAAATAAAAAGTATATATTTTAGTTACTTTCTGAATAAAAATACCATTTAAACACTAAACAAATGTTTTTGTTCCCATTTGGTTTCTCTAGATTCCCTAAGTTGTCAGTGAATAGTTCTTAATCAGCTTTGGTGTTAATCGGCTACAGTGTGTTTATTTTGAATTGCCCGAACTGTGAAATCTGATTATCTTGAGCCAGCACAAGTTTCACTGTAGAGCTTGTGTTTTTCTGTTGGAACTGTACCTCAAATACCTTGGAATATGTAACCTTTAAAAATGGAGTTTGAGTTCACTTATTGTAAAAGGTAATAACATTGGTAAATGTATCATGGTCAAGGTTTTATAGATCATAAAATTTTGCCACTGGCCATAACTTAACAGGGGAGAGGTGGGCAAGCAGAGGGCCTCTACTAAGTATCTGCACCAGAAGCTGTGGGTCATTAAGGGACATTTGTTCATTTAAAAGAAAATCCCTTCTGCTCTGTGTGGGCAACATAGTAGATATCTCCAGAAGAATGATCTTGATCTTCTAACTCAGGATGCCTGCTTGCCCTTTTCTCAGTCAGCTCATGAGCTGGAAGAGCTGAATAACTACTAACCTTCTTGGTAGGAGAACCTGATGAATGGTCAGCCTTGAAACCTTATTCCTTTCCTCCAGAGATCCTTTAGATCAATTCTCACAGCAAAGACTTCCTTCTGTAGAACTCTCAGATTTATCCTTCAAGTCATCAAATGCAAGCTTTCTACAACACAGCTCTTGATCAAGGCCTAGAAGAGCTGTCAGTTCTTAAATCTACCCCTTCTTGTATTGCAAGCTCTTCTATATTGAAGACTCTTCTTCCCTCCCCAAGAAAATCCCAGTTCCTGTTAACACTTCTCTGCAAGCAAATATTTATCATTAACAGCAATGGTGTTAACAGCAATGGTGAAGGCATTATGTCTATTATGGCCTCCGTGCCCTGCTTGGAAGATATTCCATGCTCAGTTGCTTGTGTTTGATTCAGATCTCCAGCTCCTTGCAGTTACTTCTGGTTGGATATGTGCTCTTTCCTGCAGAGAGGAAGGAAATATGGACTTGATCTACTGGTACATATCTAGGGTGCTAGTAGGCCCCCTTATTTTAGACACTGTGCAGATCAGGGCTTTTTAGTGCAAAAGTTCTTAGCCCGAGTCCATGACTCCCAGGCTGAGTAGGCAGTATGCCATGCAACTATGTGTGACCAGCACAAAATGCGGGAATTTGTTTCTTTCTTTCTTTCTTTTTTTTTTTTTCCGAGAAAGAGGGTTTATTGAGAGGACAGAGAAGCTCCCACAGTGGGAGGGGACCCCTCTCTGATCTCAGTGTAAAGTGGAAACACCAGTACATGTTTATACCCAGCCTCATAGGACTGACTGGCCGGGCCCACTCATTCCCAGGGTTGCACCCGCCGGCCACTGACAACTACAGACCGATTCTCTGCCGCCCAGAACACGTGCCCAGGACGCAAAATGCCCCATACATCCATGGCCTTCCACATCCTCAGTCGCTCGCATACCTCGGTTCCCCGGACTGCGGCGCCCCCAGCCGGGCGGTGTCTCAGCGTTCCCGGTCCCCAGCGGTCGGTGGCCGACGGGCGGCGCGGGTTTCTAGCCGACGGGGTTAGGCCGCTGCACGCCGGAAGTGGCGGCTGAGCGGGACCGCTGAGGTGTCGGCCGGCGGGGCAGCGGCCGGGAGCAGGGGGCGGGGGCGTTGGTCATGTT